AGGGTGTGTTGATTTTCCTGGGGCTTATGTGAACAGGAAGAAAATGAAAGAGCAGGATGGAGACAAGGGATAGCAAAGGAACAGTCTGCATTCCTGAACCCCAACTGTTTGGCAAAGAAAGGATGTGCGAGATTCTCAAGGTTTAAATAAACTTCTGGAAGATAATTGTACTTGACCCACTCCTTGTATAGGAAGAGGTTGAGCCAAAGTCAGATCTCCTGGTCGGAAGGTCCTGCAAAGCTGCCCAAAGAACTTACCCACACTGAGTCAGCCAGCTTTGACAGTGAACCCATAGTGGTCCTTGATGGAAAATCAGAGACGATGGACAAGGAATTGCAATTGCTTGCCACTTCAAGTGTGATGGTTACTTTTCTCCCTACTCCAAAGAGAAATTAGAGCCAGGAAAGAGAGGAGGAGTAAAACAGCAGAGTTATGGTCATCAGGATAATGTAAATTCTGGCTTGTTGCCAGTGCTGAGCCTGGAGTGACTAAACAAGTCTCAGAGCACACCGAGGCCAGGCACTGCCTGCCTGGGGCCCGTGGACTCCAGTAGTTTTCCTAGAGGGCAACATGGATGGCACTGGCTGCTCACAGAGAAAGTGCCTCTGATGTTGGAGGCTGGGTCTCAGTGAGTCAGAAAGGTGAAGCTAGCAGAGCTCACCAGACCAATCAGATTCAGATTTGGCCATGTGGGGGCAGGCTCAACACATTTAGGAAGGCACCTGCAGGCCAGCTGCGCGGGAACAGGACCATTCATAGGGAAAATGGCGGCTGTCCTCCAGCCCTCACAGCAAAGCCACACACCTCAGTTTGCCCTCTGTATCCCTCCAATGCCTCTTGAGTATTGTCTTTCTCTGTTGGAGCCCAAGGTAAGTGCCTGCGAGTGAGTGAGTCTGCGCGTGGGCCATTTAAGAGGAAGTCTGGGTTTCCCGCTGCCTTCTGTCCCACCCAGGTGGTTGAAACCTTTGCGGCCAAGATATCCCACCTGATTCTCATCCACCACACGCTGGTGTGGGGCCTGTTCCATGTCTCCACCCCTCCTACCCGTTTCAACATGGCATTTTCTTTATATCCTTAGTTATAAAACGTCTGTTCAGTTTGACCTCATCTGGTTT